CCCTAGTGCTCTTAGAGACAGCATGGCCTGCTAACACCTTTATTCCAAAATTCTAGCCTCCAGAACGGTGAGGCTTTAGATTTCTGTTATGTAAGGCACTCAGCTGCAGCACTTTATTACAACAGCAAACTCAAGCTTCTCAGGGCCAGGCAAATGACATTAATAAATAAAGCCTCAAGCCTAGCAATAAGAGTCCTGAAGAACTGTAATGTGTATGTTTTTTCTAGAGATGGTCATATTCGAAATGCTAGCCACCATCGCCACCATCTGCTATTTAAATATTTGACTAGATGAGTCATGATTTAAATGTTTTTTGCCAAAACATCTGGTATTGCTTGTAAAATATTCAAGTTATTACTAAAAAATGGAGTGTATCTTATTACTTTAGAGGAACAATAATAGAAATGATGCTGTCTTTGTTCCTAGGTGAGCTTTCTTCTCTTGGCCTGTTCCAGGAGGTATGTGATGTTCTGGAACACACCATCTGCACCTGCATTGTTCGCATTTATCCGTGCCTTCTCCTCTTCTCTCCTATTTTGCTTATGCAAGCCTAACCTCTCCTCATTACCCAGGTCCAACTTTCCATGATGCCTTCACCGGATCTCTTTTTGGAGTATTCACAATATACTCTGTGTTTTCTAAAGGCATACCTTTTATAAATTAGACAAGATCCAAGGACATTTGACTAAAAATACAATATAAAACTCTAAAAGGTGTCTGCTGCTAAGAAGTGGGTCATGATATTACTGAGGTTCACTCAGGAAGGATTTTCAGAGGAGGGCAGATGGAATAGATAGAAGAGCAGGATAGAGATTGTTTCAAGCTCAAGAGTGCTTACACACAGCTTTAAGATGGAATGGTGGGCATCCGGAGATATCCCATTGGGAGAAATCCTAAAAGTTACTGATTGATGGGCTGAAGAATGTACTGGTGATTATGTTTTCTAATATCTTTTGCAAAATGTGACTGATAGTCAAAATGCAAAATGAATAGCCTGCTTTAGAAATTTTAAGGAATGATATTGCTATGCAATAAAATTCAGAAATAAAAAAAAACACTTGTTCTAGGTCTTTGATATTCAAGTCCTATAAAGTGTAAAATCTCCTTTTAAATGAACTATTAACAATCCTCTCTCAATAGTTAAGGTAAATGCCAACTAGAAAAAAATGTAAAGAATTCAGAAATTGTTTTCTTTCATTCATCAAAATCTAGATTCTATAACATAAAGAGACTAAATAAAAACTAGCACATAGATCATATATGTTTATATGTAATATAACTATAAAATATATTATGTTTTTTTACTCTCTTTCTTTTTCTAACATATTTTTGGTACTTTTCTGAGCCTCCTTGCTTCACAGAGAGCAAATCTAGTGCTTGTGACTTACTCAGATGACAAAACCTCCCATAGCACCCTGGTTCACACACACAGGTGCCATACACCCTGTGGCAATGGCCACTGTTACAATTGGCACAGTTACATTTCCTTTTGCAGTTCCCAAAGAATCCTTTTGGGCATCCTAAGGGGTGGAAGGACAAACAAAGCAAATATTAACCCACATGCAAAACTTGCCAGAGCTGTTGTTATATGCAATATGGAGCATGCAAAAGGTAAGGTGTTTCCGATCTGACTGGACTGAGGCAAGAGAGATCTTTTAAAAACCACAAATAAGATTTTATATCTTCTGTCTAAAATTCTGCAAGGACTTGCCGTTGCTGCCAGGTGAAACCTCCAAACTTAAGATTCACAAGTTTCTGCACTGGCTGACCTAACGTGGTGCTAATATCCCCTTGATTGACTTTCGCTCCACCAACTGACCTTCTTCTGGTTCTTGTAATGCACCTTTCTCTTACCCACTTTACAGTCTGGCAACATGTAACTCTCTCAGTCTGGAATGCTCTTCCCTCACACTTTCCCTGACTCATGTCTCTTCATTTTGCAGGCTTCTGCTTAAGCATCACTTCTCTAAAAGTTAGTTTGGGTCACACAGTCTGCATTTTCCTCATAATCTGACTGCCAAGCACACATTAATATTCAATTAGTAATACCTGCCGACATTTGTAACCTTTGTCTGCTTTGAACAATACTGAAAGATCCACATAAAAGGACTAAGGATTGATTGATTGATTTTGTTACCATATCATAATGCCTGGCACAGTGCCTTGCAAACACTTAATATGCATGTTTTGAATAAATGAATAAATATTGTTCAGGGGAATAAATAACTAAGATGCCAGTAGGAGCCTTCCTGCACCTCTCAGAGAGTGAAGTAATCCTGGTTTCCATCTCCCAAGGTCCATGAACTGTAAGAATCTAATAAACTCCCCATGATGGTTGGCAATCCCCAGTGACTTAGATCTTCATTGACTCTCTGCCTTCAGCTTCGGGGCCTGTACAAGCAATTTCTTTTTTATACTTTATCAACCTGTGCAAAAAAATGTGGCCCTTTCACTGGTTTCCATGAAAAATCCATGCACAACACTCATTGGCATTTTGTGAGTTTTTCATCCATCGTTTTCCTCTTTTCCTTTCTCTCTCCTTTCTTTTTCCTCTCTGATTTTCATCTCTATTCCTTCCTAGTTTGCCCAAGGAGCTCCATTTTTCTTCATTGCATTACGCAGAGCAAATAAATTCTCTATAGCTCCTGTATCCAAATGGGCATGTACAAATTCGACTTTTTGCTCAACAGAAGTAAAGGCTTTTTCTGTACCAGGATTCACCCTACTTAGATCACAGTTGGAGATTTAAGTACCATTTATTTTGCTCTATTATATATGTTATCAGTCAAAGCAATTGTACTCTTGTATATACATTGACACAGCCTTTAACTTCTTCAGGAAAAAGGCTACCTTAAAAAATACAGATGCAACTTTCATTTAGTTTATTTCCCAGTAGAAACCTCAAGACTTTAAATAGTTGTCTCATGTGACCAGCACCAGGCATTCCTACCGTGTTCACAGGTTTTCCCATGCACCCCCAGGGGACGCTGGCACTGCCCAGTCAGAGGATCACAGGTGCCTCCATTCTGACAATCACAGATGATTCCACCATCTTTCGGGAACAAGATATGAAGAAAATGAAGAAATTGAACAAGCAATATAACATATTTATTGTGATACAAATGGAGAAAAAAATATCATGTCTTCTTATTAGAATAGATACAGAGTAATTAAAATCTCTTTAATTTGCAGACCCAGGAAGTGTCTCTGATATGCCTCTAGTTTGGATGGTATAATCATTACTGGGGGATTCTTGATATAGCTCGTTAAAATGATGACTGAGGTACTGCTAAGAAGGTTTATATGCAAAATTTACCTTGCTCCATAAACTCTAAATTTCACATTTTCAAAGTTTCGAGAACTTTGCTGTAATAACCTTAATGAGAAACTGCACCTTCTATTTTGAAAAATGTAAGGAAATGTAGAAAAAAAGTGGCATGTATTTTCAACCAGGAATGGAGGTGATTAAGACTGTCTTGAGGGTCCTAAGGTATTTTCATTGTCAAAGAATGATGAAGTCAAGCAAACTGTTTTGTTGGTTTTGGGGGAAGTGTTTCGTATTCCAATAAAAAATAAGTTGGGAAAAATGTCCATAACTTTATTTTAATTTTAACTTGGTTAAATATAGCTATTTAGAAAATTTCAGTGAGCATTTTAATTGACATTTTATCATAATAGGCTAAATATTATATCACCTTCTCTACCCAGCCACCCACACCATTCCAGATGCTAATATGGAAACTTGGCTTTTATTCACTTTTTTCTTTACTTTCAAGCCCAAGGCTACTATGAAAAGGAAAGGGGGGGAAAGTTTTGGGAAAGAGGAAAACAAAAGGAATGAGAGAAAAAAAAACAAAAACTGACAACCAACTTCGGTTTATTTTGAAAAATATACCTGAAAAATAAAGCTAAAAAAGTTTAAATAGCTTGCACACTATCTAGGCAAACCGACACTATTATCTGGCACTCCCCCACAAAGCAGAATAAGATATCATACAGTGCAAGAATTTGCTAAATACTTCATTAGCATCAAACAACAATTATGGAGAATCAAACTGAAGGCAAACATGCCCCAAACCTTAGCTGGATGATTCCAAGGAGTTATGAATCCTTCCCTCCATATATAACCCATTCATTTGTCATATGAAAATCCTCCATTATCTTCCCTTTCTATTGGATACAGTCTCACAGTAAGAAATGATATAGCCAATATAAAATCTCAAAATAAATGGAGTTCTAAAATATGTTATTAAAATTAATATGTGGTAATTTTAAAATTGTTTTATTATAATTACTTGGAAAAATTCCTAAGTTAGCAAAACAGATATTTTCAACATAGATCAATAAAGATATTGAGCTAGAAGACCTACTCAGTGGGAAAACTAACTTTTCAGATCTCTGCAGAAAGTTTTTTTTTTTTTTTTACTTTCTCTTGCTGCATTTAAATATGGGTGATGAATGACTGGTCACTTCCATTTATTGCAGCTTATATAGAATTTTAAGAAATGTTTTCACCCTTCTTTTTTGTTAAAGAATTAGTGAGTTTTTTTCCAATTTCCATTGTTTTGTTTTCATTTTTGTAAAAAAAGAAAAAAAGAAAAAAAAGACATAAAGGAAATGCAAAAAAAGATATAATCTTCTGCTTTCAGGGCCAGATTCTCCTGCACAGGGCTATTTGAACACTTAAAAGGTCCTCAAGGTTCTCTAAACCCAAAGAAGGGGTCATCTTATTTTCATTTTATCAACAAGTTTATTCTCAACATTTCTATATTAATTTTGTATCAGACAGGTTTTATTCTGATGTATTTGAGATAGATTTTTAGTTTCATTTCTCATGCTGCCATGTTAGAAATCAAGGTTTTGGAAGTTGCATATTTACCAACAAAACTTATAAATATTTACTTCCTAATAAGAGTACAATAACATGTATTTGATCCAAATTTTATATAGTTTCAGGTCAATGTTAAGTTGCAAGTCAATATAGCTGGTTGCTTCAATACTCCATTTTCTTCATTTGTTCATTCATGTTCTAAGTGCCTCCAGTTTGGAGAAACATGAAAAGGAGCTGGCCAATGAGTTTTCAGTCTAGTAAGACAGACAAACAGGGACATAGCCGACTCTAATCGAATGTGGAGAGGGAGAAAGTGACTTTAAATCCACTGAAATACAAATAGTTGTGGTTAGACGTGGGCCATCAAAAAAAAAACTTCATACAAAAGTGGCAATAGACAAAGATGGCTGTTTAGCAAAAGGCGCAAAGATGAAAAGGGCAAAGCAATAAATAGCGAGTGGTTTAGTTTGCTGGAAACGATAAGCTGGGCAAAGAGTTGTGATTAAGATAAAAAGCAAAAAGGATTTATGAAGACCTTATCTTAGATGGTTGCCAGCCAGTAGATCAGAAGTGTATGCTTTATGTATCAGGAAATGGGACATCCAAAGTGTTTTGAGCAGCAGAGAAACATGACCAGAGGGGTGCTTGAGGATGATCCTCGATACCCTAACTAGTAAACTTGGTTAAACCACTTCACTATGTTATGATCCAAGTTTTATATCTATCTCCTATCAGAAACAGTATTTGTGCTCTTTCTTCTTATATGAAGGAGGGTCAAAAAAAATTTGCTCATACCATCTTCCAAGTTAATCATAAAGACTAAGAAAACTCTGTTATTAAAAATTTTGTAAGGTAAATTTAAAAAGAGAAAGAGGAAACAAAAATAGTTAATATAATTTTTTTATTACTTGGCAGTTTTAGTACCTGCAAGTATACCTCCATTTAAAATATAAAGGAAAAATTTCGTAGAGGTATCAGTTTTTAAATCTTTGATATTTTCTCATGAGAGACATAAAAAAACTTAAAAGTATCATTGGCTGTACTAACATATTTTGAAAAGAAGAAGAGAAGAAAACACGAACAGAAAAAAGCAGCAGTCTGGCAATCCCATTAATTGCAGTTTGTAGCACAGCTCCTTTCTCTTTTTCTTTTCTTGGGAACAGCTTGCCAGGGCCTAATGATTTATTTAAATGATGGGATTTTGATAGGCCTAGAATATTAGGATACTTTATTAACTTTTATGTTCCATGGATAAACGAGAAACAGCACATCAAGTATCCTAGGGAACACAAAATCTACCCCCTTTTTTTTCACATGTTCATTCTAAAACCTCAGTGCTTTATAGACATTCTTTACATGCAACAAATAAATTGGTTTCTCACCCATGTCAATTCCTTACCTTGCTAAAACTTTTTAGGGAGAACAAGCATAAAGGAGAACTCATCACCAGTTGTTTACAAGTCGTAGAGGAGAACTTATCATCACAATTCTTCACAGTATCACTTACTTTCATTACAAAGAATGCCACCCCAACCAGCTGGGCAGGAGCACCCCCTCCTTCCTTCCTGGCACCTGCCTCCATTCATGCAGTCCACACAACTCAAACTGCAATCATGTCCAAAGGTGTGATCTAAACAGACTGTAATATGATACCATTTTAGTTAGCTCATACTGTTCACATCACCAAAAATGAAGAACACTTGATTTCACATACACACACACACACACACACACACACACACACAGAATGATTCCTGAGCATATTTCTTAAAGAGTCCCAGAAAAATACACGAACAAGAAGATATGTTTTATAAACTCTATAAAATAGTTTATCTTTTCCAATGATAATATCGAAATATAGAACCTAAAGAATATTTAGAATATTTAAGAAAGTAAAATAATCAATGTTACTGACACTTGCTTTTCCTCCCAGACTTTTTATGGATAGATTTCCCACCCTCATCCCCAAGTAAACCTTTTCATTGAGATTTAGTATACATGCAGAGAAGTGCACAAATCTCAAGTGTACGCGTTATGCTTTTTTCCATAAGGTAAATAACCCGTTAAATGCCATCCAGATCAAGATATAGAATATTGCCAGCACCCCAAAAACTCAAAGGTGACTTGATGATTCTTAATCACTAACCTCACAAATTAAGCAGTCTCCCGATTTTTATCACCACAGATTATTTTTCATTATTTTTGAACTTTATTTAAATGGAACCGTAAAGTATGTACTCTTGGTACCAAGTTTCTTTTATTCAATACAGTGTTTGTGAGACTCACCCATATTGTATGTACACTAGTTTTCTTTTAATGGCTATATAGTATTCTATTACATAAATGTACCATAATGTGTTTTTTCCATTCTATTCTCTAGGGAAATTACTTTAACTGAATAAGAACGGAGATAATTGACTTCAGTTCTTTTAAAGATAACTTTATTTCAAGTTTTGCCCCTGTTTGTAACGAGGTCTTTCAGATGTCTCAATTGAAAGTCTGTTATATCGAGCAAGCCCTCTCTTTGGCAGATCCTGAGCTGCCGCTTCTACTTCCCCATCACCATGATACTGCTGATAACTGTACTTAGCTCTTTGCCCTCTTAGCAGCTGCCTTTTAGATTTCTTGGCTTCTCTGCCTACGCAGCCCGTACATTAGCAAACGGCTCAAGGAGAAAGAAACAGAGATGGCCCATTTCACTTTCCTGAGTTTCTTTTCTCTCTAGATTTTGGTCACTCAAGTTCTGACTGCACTGGTAGCCCTGCACTATTTCCATTCAGATATTGAGTAGCCAAAGTATCATGAGTTGAATTAAGAAATGTGAAAGCATTTTTGCTTTTATGCAGATGTATTTATTGATATTATTTTATGATTCACCATAGCATAAAAATGTTTCTGCCATTTTCCTGAATGCACTCTGAGCAATCATTAAGCTCTGACACTGTTAAAATACAGCAAACAGAGGGAAAAGAAAAAGAGCAGCTCTGTTTTATAAAGAAAAGTAAAAGAAGCAGCAGACTGGCTGCAAACTGTTCTTTTGAAAGAGGTTATGCTAATTTATTGTGATCAGAAGTGATTTGATGCTTGAGTTCTGTTGTGTGGATATACGTGTATAAGAAAAACTGCTCACACTTTTAAAGATATTTTCTTGGTCCACTTGAGCATATTAAACAATTGGTTCTCAGCATTTTTAAAACTAGGAAAAATCTAGACTTTAAGGCTATTTAAGGTACATTTTAACTATATAAAGTGACTTTTATTGAAGTTTTAAGAGTTAGAACTAAAAGGTCTCAATCTTTCTCCCCATTATGTTAATTTAAAGATATTTTTCAGCACCATTTCACTGTATCTCATTTCAACAGCCCCCCATCATCCTGTACCCCTACTTCTATGTATATCCACAAAGCAAGCCTTTATTGTGTGAAAGGAAGAAATATTAAAAATATGATGGATTTAATAGAAAGCTCTGAAGAAGTGATTTTGTCCCTGGTTTTCTTGCTAACATTATGTTAAAACATTTAATGGCATTAAATATGGATAACAAAATTGTCTATAAAGGAATTTATGTGAATTCTCTAAAAATAAAGAAAAAGAGGTGACTACAATGAGATACTCACCAACTTTTTGCAAAGCAGTCAGTTCTTGTGTATCTTTTTCGTCTTCCTCCTCATCTTCTTCATCTTGGTGGGTGGGAGGCAGAAAGGCAGCAACATAATGAAGCAGTTGAGATGTGCTCTTGAACAGAAGGCCTGCAAATCTCACGACTTCTAATTCCTCTTCTTCTTCCTCTAGCTCATCATCATCTAAAGCTAAGACCACACAGCGAAATGCCTGGATTCAACATGCTGGTTAAAAGAAGGAACAACTGAGCAAGGGTTGATGAGAGAAATGAGAGAGTTTGAACTAGACAGCCAAGGCAGGGGGCCGCTGAAAGGTAGAACTCTTTGAGGCCATTTCAAAAAGTCTATTGTAAATGAAGGTGAGAAGCAGCAAGCACAAAGCTGAAACTGTAGGAGAGAGAACAAAAGGAAAAGAAAGATCTCAGTCTACGAAGAGAGAAAGGGAAGGACAGGTTGAGTTAAGAAATATGTGGTCTCCATTGCTCCTGAAGGACAAAATGGGGTTGAAAGTAGTTTAGAAGAGGTACAATAAAATTCTTGACAGTGACTTACAGATGCAAGTTTTCCCATCACTTCCAATTCTGTAGCCTTCTTCACAAGTACAGTTATATGTTCCCACTGAGTTAATACATAGTTGATCACAGACTGTGTTGATATCCAGACACTCGTCCATATCTAGAAAAATTTAAACAATGTCTGCTTTTGAGCACTGAGAGATAAAATGGACATTATGAACTTATGGCCATATTTGTGTTCTTCTAGTCACCCTATTAAGCAATAACAATGTATTATCATCTAGCAAATATAGTCCCCAAATTCTTTCTCAAGTATATCCTGCCAATTATTTTTCTTTCACTCAATTCCAAATTTATTATAGTTCATTTACATGGACAAGGCTTTTCTGAGACCTTGTTCATGAACTTTTGATGAAGAATTTAAAACAATATAAATTTGATGGTCTCAGGCTGTGTACCATTTTGTGTCATGTTCATTCATTCTTGAATTATTCGATATTTGTGACGAAGCATTTATTTCATCTATAATTCTGTACAAGGTTTGTGGAGAATTTCAGAGATGGAAGAACTCTAGGCCTTGATCTTACGTGACTTACATATATCCATGTCTGAGTCCAGACTTTGGTTCATGTCTTCACAATACTAAAAGGTCATTTATGAAGCTGAGCTTCTAAGCTTTGCCTCAGAATGTGGATACCTTTTCCATTTGGATGTGTGTACCCAAGTACATATATTCATGCTATACAATCATATCTTGGCTCATTCTGCTCAAGAGCAGATGGTTGATAAAATTCAAATTATTTTTGGCCCTGTTAATTGGATGGAATGTGATAAATGGTAATATTCTCTGCTGTGTTTAGAATATATAGATATCATAATTGTGTGTTTTTTGCTGTTATCTATACTGCAAGGCTGAGAAGCCCGGCATGTATATGGAGAAACATACCTTACATAGTCGACAGAATTCAAAAATTTGTTTCTTTAGGCAAAGAAATACTATCTTTTTACCTGAGGCATCAAATTCTTCTCATGTAATTTGTTATTAAAAAAAGATGCCAATCATCATGTTTGCTCTGATTTCAAGAAAAATATGGTTCATAAAATGGTAATAGTGATCATAAAATTAAAATTTAAAGATTACATATACAAAATAAACATTAAAATATAAATGATAGCAATGACTTAAATGAGCTGTTCCTAATGTAATGGTTTAAAAAAAGTGAATTAACTGTACTCACTAAATTCAAATTCTCCTATGATATTTCAAACAAGTACATAACGTAGAAATCATCTGAAAGGTAAGTGAACCAATTTTAACAAATAAGTTAGAAAATTATAAAATGACTTTTTAAAATTTTCATTAGCTAGATTAATACCAGATATATAAAGGATTCTGATACAGATTTAGACAGTGGCGGTGATGAACTGGGAATCCTTTTGCTACCGTTCTCTAATTAAAATGATTTTCAGCCACCAACTTCCTAATACCAGTCAAGCTTGCCATGAGTAATTTCTATGGCAGTGTGCTATGCCATGCCAGAATCTCTCACTTGCCTATATACATTTAATTAGGTAAAAATGACTATGGGCCAACAAGTATTATAATAATAGTTACTTCTAGTTGAGTGATTTCTCTATGTCAATCACTATACTAGGCGCTTTACATTTATTACTTTCCTTTGTTTACCACCTATTTTATATTCACTTTCCTGATATTTATAACTACCAATTGTTAAATGTAGGCTATGAGGCTCAGAGCAGTTAGAGTCACCCAAGTTCATACAATAGTAAATAGTAGAACCACATAGAAATCCAAGTCTCTTTGGTGTCAAGTCCTTCCCTTTCTCACCCTAACTGTCTTCCTCAGAAATTCCTCCTTCACTGATTGGCCCATCACATTGGTGATCCCCTGTTAGATGTCAAGAACTTAGCATCACATCCGCAATCATCAGAACTGATCTGAAAGCCTTCCCGACAACTGCATTCATAGCCTCCGAAATAGTTGATGCAGAGCTGGGTACAGCAAGCTTCTTCACTCTCACATTCAACAAGATCTGAAGGGGAAAAGGACGTTTCTGTTGTTCAGGAGACAGGAATTTAGATGGCCTACAGAAGTGCTGACAAGCCTCATTTCTAAATTAAAATTGTGTTACTAATTATTTTCTATTTCTCAGGCTACATAGTACAGACATCAAAGAAACTCTAAGACAAAAAGAATGAAGTCTATATTTGAGTTCCTTTCTTGCATGCTTCTCCTAAGCCTGCTATTTATTTTAAAAGTATGTAAATAATCTCAAATGCATTTGTAACCACAGGAAAAGAGATCTCTGCTATTTCTCCAATTTAAATAGCAATCTGGTTAAATAAATAGAATTTGAAGAACAACGACAACACAAAAAAAGCTTGAGAAGAACCAAAAAATTCAGAGGAGGCAGTCTTAGACTCAATAATGTGTTTATTCATGTAGATCTTCAGATGAAAGAGTACTTCCGAGCAAAAGGAATTCAAACGACTGGGAAAAGAAGTGGTAACTACAGTGAGGGCAGACAATCATTTTAAATATTATGCCTTAAATAACAGACTATTTCAGAGCATTTGCTTGAAGTTTTCGAAGATGCGGGGGTTCAGGGTTTTTTATTACCACTGGCGATACCATTACCCTGGTATGTTCTAGCATTCAAACAGCTTTCTAAACGATGCTCTTCAAGTTTCCTTCAGCACTATTATTCTAGAATTCTACAATCTTAAATGTTTCTTCCTAAGACATAATTGACTGGGGAAAATAAAAATGTACCAGAAAATGTCAAATTGAAATACTTTAGCCAAAGAATAATCTGTTTGGCTTGAGTTTTGAGGTGATTGCTTCTAACATAATTGGCTAAGGAATAGGAACAGACTCTTCACCCACTGCTTCCCTTAGGCTAGACACCTGGCAATTATGTGGTCAGGATTTTTGGCTATAGGCCCTTGGTTCAATTCAACCCTCTCTGTTTGTCGAGCTATTAAGTTGGGTGGCTTGTCAATGCTGAGTTTACAAAATCCCATTGTTCCATAACTACATGAGCGGTCACAGAATTAAAGGTCAGAGTCTCAATTAACCTTGGAAAAGGTACCAATGTAAGAAAATGCAGACAAGAGAAAGGAAGGAAAAAAATGCAATCAATCAACTAAGGTGAGGGGTCACCATAAAATATCTAACTGAAGGTCATTTAGACATAAAACATTCTTTCTCCTGTAAAATGTCACAAACAGTGTTACAAAATTTTAGGTGATATTTTTCCTCTCTCATGTTAAGCCATTTTTTGTTCTTTGGATTAACTAGCATGAATATGGAGGACAAAAGTACTTTTAAAAATTCAGTTTTATTTAATCTAAAACTTATCCTTTATGCTGTTGTTTTCTCAAGATTTTTAAAAAGGTTTCTCGAATACCACCAGAGCCTCCAAACTTATATGTCTCAAGATTCCCTGTTCTCAGCTACAAGGAACATGACTACATCACAATTAGAAAATTAATTCATCAATATATCATATTATGACTCATTCTGAATTATTCTTCTATTATCCTTCTTCTGGGGCTACTTCTAGCTTGTGTCATGTATACCATCTTCAGTCTGGAAGTCATTTGAGACCCCATCATTCTTACATCACAAGCCTTTCTTAAAATGCCCTGTCCCTTCAACCCTTATATTACCAGTTTCCTAAATTTCTTGATTTCTTTTCAGTTTTTATTTAGTGAGATCTTTGTTTCCTTATTTTTCCCTTTTAATTTTCCTCCTCTCTGATAATCATATTTTTCTTACATTGACCAATATGCCAAATATTGCAACATTGTAGAGAAATTTGCCTATTCATAAAAATTTAGCCCTAATCAAAAATAGAGCATCAATGGTAGCCAGGCAAAACAATTAAACATTTCAGTTTGACATCAGAAAAGTACCAAAAATAAACCTTGAAAAAACTGATCTTCTGTATCTGACGCCCATACACAGTCTCTCAATAAAACTCCAAAGGTTAGAAATAAATTTTTTTCTAATAACTACCAATTGTTAAATGTAGTGAACTTATTGCTAATCAGACAGTTGTATTTTTCCCTAGCCAATTATGTTAGAAGCTGTCTTTCAAATTGTGTCAACATATCTCTAGGTTTTAGCCCTAATAAAATTTTGCATTTAGGAAAGACTGACCTTTTGCAGACTGGGTGACTTATTTTCATATTTATTTGTACAGTCTCATATATAAAAAAGTTGATCCTAAAATAAGCTCAAAAGAAAATTCCTTAATTTTCTTCAGGCGTGAATGTTTTTACAAAGCATCCATGGCCTTAATCTGTTCTCAGGAGAATAAGCAAAGTATGTATATGTACACTCCAGACAAATCATTGCCTTACTCTAGTGAATATCTGGTCGTTAGGAATGTGTATTATTTATTGTTGAGAAATGAAATAAACTTGAGCTATAAAAAATACAACATTGTCATGCTGACTACTGAAAGCTCATAAATATGCAATTTCTTACATTTCGACCCTGGCAGATGTTATTTTTTTTTTTCCTAGTTGTAAATAAGAACTTTACTGAATTGTACTTTTCAAAGAATAAGGTGAGACACCAAATTGCACATTTTGAACAAAAGATTTCATGAAATCCCAATTTCCCTTATCCAACGATCAAAAAAGGAAGAAAGATAGGCAGGAAGGAAGGGAAGGAGAAAAGAAGGGAGGAAGAAAAGAAGGAAGAAAGCTCTTTTATTTTTTCCAGAAATACAAATGTTAGCAAGGTAGAAAAATACAAGCATATTTTTCATTACGTAAAAAGAAGCTGGGAAAGCAAAGGTTTCACTAAGTTAACCACTGTAGACTCAGAAAAACGCACAAAACAGTGTTGGTTCAAGAACTACAAGTAATGACATTGTTTTGGTTAAATAATTTATGAAACCAGAATACTTCGAAATCCTTTGAAGTTCACTCTGTCACATCATAGTGCCACAGTAAAAAATTGCAAATACTTAGACTTTTGAAATTCAACTCTTCTTTTATTATATTCCAATTTGTCTCCAACCATATTGAGAAGCATAAAATGGTCAAAGGTTGTTTTTAGTATCCGTATCATAATTTTTAAGAAAGGTGATATAAAGTGTCACAAAAGAAAACAAACAAATATGGTATCATAATTCTCAAATGATAGTAAATTGCTTTAGGGGCTATGGGTCTCTAAGATCCAGAGCACATAATAGTTTGATGCTCACTATCCCTATTTTTTTAGTAGATAATCCTTTTTTCTCAGAACCTCAAGATTAAACATTTTATTATGAAGCAAGTCTGGGGTGGAATTTAGTTTTCTCATTGTCCCAAATGATGTAAGTTCTAATAATATCTTGGAAAAGTTATCTATTAAAAATGTGTTTGAGCTGTGATTTCCAAACAATGAAATCTTTAAATTGTTCTTTTGGAAAATAGCTTCCTGCCATACCAATGCTGAACATGCATTCAAACCATTATCAAGCTGAGAACCAATGAATGTGATTTAGTTTCTGCTTGAGGTAGAGAGAAGTAGGGTATGTGGTAGCACTTGTTGCTTGAATTACAAATTACATTAAAGAGTTAGATAGGTCTTGGAATATTTTCCTGAGGTAAAACTATTAAATTCATATATTTTTTAAATATTTTAAATCTCCTTTAACTTCAAAGTACATATCTAAACATAATGTCTTTTGCCAAGTAATATTTGTTTTACCTTTATCCAGTAGCCAGAGACATCTTTCAATTTAATTATCCTTGTAGTATGAGAGCTGTGGCTCACATTACAGCAATTAAGTATTAGAGAGAAAAGGGCTAAGTGAATCCAGGGCAACTCTGAAGGAAGATGGCATTTACCATACATTACCTATGCATGTTTTCTCATCTGAATCAAGCTGGTGTCCATGGTTACAGGAACAACAGGGCCCACCAAGTGCATGTTCACACTGATGGGAACAACCACCATTGTTCTTTTCACAGCTATTGACAATTTCCAATTCAATCCCTTTCCAAACAAGTAGAAGATGGTTATTAGCATAACAACAGAGAAACTTGAATATATGTCAACAACAGACATACTCTGTTGGGAGGATGACAACTTTACTGGAAATTTATCAACACTCTACACATATAAAAGTCAGAGGGCTATTAAGCTGTGAATGTCTAAACAATATCAAAATACTAATAAACCTATAAATAATGTTAAGTTGATGAAGTGATGCAGATAGGTAATTGGTCCACTAGTGGTTATTAAACACTTATCTTAAAGGACACTTACCTCTGGGAATCCATAGTATTTTCAGGATATAAAAAAATGTGTGTATTGAATCAATAATCAGAAAGCAAATAGGTTGTTTGCCAGCTGACATTTCTGTTCTCAAGCTAATGGTATGTTATTATCTGTCCTTTTCAGAGGCTATGAGCACGTTAAAATACGGTTAAAAATAGCCTTGGAATAAAGTATGAGCACAAAATCAATGAATTAGTTGACCATATTTAACTAGTATCGTGTTAATGTGTTAATCAGCTTTGAGGAATAGGAGAGTCACTTATTTATGTAAACATAGTATTACTCTAAAAACCAATTTGCTGATTCCAGTACATGCTAATTTGGGGCATTTTGGGTGACATCAACCTAAGTATATGGATGCCAAGTGTACTGAGTATACAGACATTATAATCAATCATTTTCTAAGTGAGGAAATGAGAAATTTAAAACTGCTTTGAATCAATGTTACAGTATATTTAGGTATTCTGCTATTTTTACCATTGGCCTCTATTGTTCTTCATTGTGTTGCTTGGATAAACCTCTCATTAATGAGACTGTCTACATTTGTTCATTTTCTTCCATTTGTAATTCCTTAATCCTTTGGAAGAAGAAAGATGAGAAAGAACAAGACAAGGGTGCTTAAGATTGTGGTACTTACGGAAAGCCTATCTCACCATTGAAACTGCCTAGGTATCTGCTACAGTTCCTGCATAGTTACTGTAAGAAATCATCCTCCCCCTCATCCCTGGCCTCCAGTCTATGGTAGGCAGCAGCCTTATGTGTCCCAGAGCACCCAGTGCACATCCCTGTCGTTGTGCTCATCCCTCTGTGCCATCATTATCCTGCATTACTTAGCTGATAACAGATGTTCAAAAATAGGTTTTGAATAATGGAACAAACAAAAAAGGATTATGCTAATCAATTTATTGTTGAAAATAAGAACCCCTTTGGGTTTAGAAATAGCTAGTTTAGGACTGAGAAAAATTGGAAAGCTAAAGGAAAGACTGAAATAACAAAAAGAAATATTTTTCATGATATGTTAACATATACTCTTTAGGGAGATATCTTTCAAATTTTGGCTATTATTCTTGTTATTTTTCTGTGATCGATGTGGCTCTAAGACTTCTGGTGGTAATTTATTTTAAATATAAATGACATTATTGTAACCTAATTAAAAAATACATGGGACTTAAACAATGGCATACTCAGACCTATAACTGCCCACTAGAAGTAAGCTAAGATTTTGTGTTCTTGATACAGGTAATGACATTTAACCATAGAACTTAAAAAAAACTTAAAAACACTTTAAAAACTGGAAAAAAAAACTTGTAGTTTCTCATAAGTAGCAAATAATTATTTATTTGATACACAATGCATTAAATGCACATGGAATTTAAGTTCAATTATATAGTGCTAATAATTTGGGGAAAGTCTTATTTAACCATGCTGAATATGAAATTAAAAAAATTTAATCACAAGACTGTGATAGTTTATTCATAACACACTATAGAGATTCGATGTTTATGCTATAGAGTGTTTTGAGAACCTCTGAGAAGAAATTATATAAATATAAAATATTGTTTTCCCAAGACAGAGTTAAAACAATATTATCCTAAAATATACTTGTCATATGAAAGACACATAATTCATTGTTAAACATTACCATGCTCTGAAAACATTTACTCCACCTACAGGTTTTGAAACAACTCAAAATACCAGTTTTCATCAAGAAAGTTTTGCATGTCACTTAGTAAATATTGAGGTCTGGTGAGAGCTGCACAAAGAACTTAGCCAAATAGTCACATAAGGGAAATAAATATAAAACTACACTTCTACCAAACGTATTCAACTCTAGGGCAAATTGCTTTCCCAAGTAAATTCTACAGAAAACCTGTACCTCATAACTCATTAGCAATAATGGCTCCCTTTTTCATGATAACTGAGAATGCACGAGTCAGATTTCAAGAGATTTTACTCCAGGCATTTGTAAAATGCTCCTACACCTCTGGCCACATTAAAAAGCCAAAATATTAATAAGAAGGTAAAAGCAATCCATATTTCTTTCTGCCTGAAAGGACTCTTCAGGGCATTAAAAGAAAGACTCACTTCAGAAGCTGTATCCTAATTAGTTAATTCTTCTCTCTCATCTTATTTACTTTGCTTTTTAAAAAATATCACTGTAGCAAAATTGTGCTGTCTTTAAGCAGTAGAAATATATCAACAGATCTTAAGATTCCACTGGAAACACAGGCATTAAAAAACATAGCATTTTATGCAGTAGAAGAGAATGAAGAATTAAGTGGCCCTAAGAATGTCTCTTCATGAAAGAGCTTAGGTAAGGACACAAAATTATTCTATTTATGACTACCTTTATTCTTCTCCCTCAATTAAAACCGATAAAGAAAAATATAACATATAAAAATATATGATGAACTTGAAAGGATAGGGTATTTGGAGCCTAAAGACCCTAGTTCGAGTCCCAGTTCTGTCACTTATTAATTTTTATCATTGAGTTTTTGGCTTCATCATTAAATGGATGGTTTGCTAAGACATGGAGAACTGAGAAGGACATCTTTGGAATGAGACTGGAAATCAGCAGTTTTGTTTTGGACCTGTCAAGTTTGCAATGCCTATCAGTCAAGCAAGTAGAGATGTTGAGTACATAGTTTGATATATTCACATATGGTTAAAGAAAAAGACAAGTGGAAATAAAAATTTGACATTAAGAGAGGGGCCAAAGACGGAGAGGAAAACTAGGAAAGTGTGAAAACATGGGAGAGGAGAAAGTGTTTCAAGAATAGGGGTTAATCATCTGTGTTGAAAGCTGCTGAGAGGTATAATAGGATAAAATCAGAGAAGGTAACATGCAATCTGGTAACATGGAGATCATGGGTCTTGGATGATGAGAAACTGCGAGATAAAGAGGAAGATATTGGCAAAGTCATAAAAATTCGCCTTGAAGGTGATCAAATTAGCACTCCAGTGGGATGTAGGCTTATCTGAGGGTACTTCAAAGACAGGAGATATTGGGCCATGTTGATATGCTGATGAGAACAATCCATTAGATAACCGTAATAGCAAAGATCTAGGGATAATGAGAAAGAATGGAATCCAAAGTACGATGGAGAAGATAGCCTTTGATAGCAGCAGGGCCACTTCCTTCATATTAATTGGGGAGAAGGGTTTTCTTTACAATTTTATGAGATGTTTCAGTTTAGTTGCTAGCTTAGATGGTAGTTTGCACCCATTTTATTTATGACATAAGAGACAAGGTAAGGATAAAGGCAAAAGAGGAGTGATACAAAGATTTAGAAGAGAAAGAGAAGATGGTAAACATTCTTTTTGATGAGGATGAAAGTGGACATGTTCTGCTAGTATAGATTTGTCCAGCCATGCTGCTTAATCATAGAAGATTTATGGTCTTGAATTTCAAGTAAAATCGATTAACATGGTTGTGTTTTAAACATAAAAAAACTTACCTGCTAAGGTGTAGATATGAAGTATAGAAAAAAGGGGAGAAGTCCTTGAGAGAAAAGTAGGGTCTGATGATAAGGAAGAAAAATGAATTGATGGTATATCATGATCACATAAACAGCAAAGATACAGAAATCATCCAAATAAATTAAAAAAAAAAATCTGTCATTTGAAAAAAAAAGGAAGAAGCAGAGGATGGATGAGGATGGGAAATACCGAGGTAGAGATCGTGGAACATGAAAGAATCTGTATCAGATAGTTTTAAGCTTAGTAAAGGAGGAAGTGTGTTCACCTACAGATTAAGTGGCAGACCAGTGGGGAAGACATGAGAGTAGGAAATAGCTGCAATAGCTATTAATAGCAGCTAATAATTCAGCATATTAACATTTTAATATATTTATAATAAGGAATGAATTAAATTGTATATCTGAGCTTAGGTGAGGAAGAAGCTAAGATCAGATGACATGGATCATAATTTTTTGAAGAATAGGAAAAGAGGGATGAGTTAATGAAAGAGAATGCAAAGTCGTAAGGAGTTGCTTAAATAGGCAAGATGGAAATGAATAAATAATGGGAGGGGGAGAAAGGCTAACACAAAAAGTACCCTTTAGAGTATCGAATGTGTCAGATGTTTTACTACAATCTAGACCTGCTCCTTGGACTGCTGGTTCATTCGTTCCTGTTACTTCCTTTTCCTTGAGGTTTACATTGGAGTTACCAGTGTTCAATCAATACTACATGGCAGAGATGATGGAAGAAGGCAGACTATTCACCAGGAGAACCAGAGTCCGAGGGAACCCAGTCAGAAGACCTGAGACTTAGTCCTTGCCATCTACACTGGGGATCATTATGCCAGCCACTTTCTATTAACCCTAGGCCCCTGTTTCTTCAAATTAAAATGAGAGGGTTGGACTTCTAAGCTCTCACCCCCCCCGCCCCCCTCTCCACCCCCCATGGAAAGCATTTTCAGGAGCTTCTGCTTTGGCAAGATATTCAGGGTCATTCTTTTACTACTCTTGTTCAATACTTGTCAAATGCCACACATTTCCAGGGCTGCGGACTGTTGCCACTTACTGTAACACTGTTTTCCATCAGCTCCCAGCTCAAAGCCAGGGTGACAGGCACAAGTGAAAGATCCAACTGTGTTTTCACAACGATGGCCACAGTGAGCAAGCCCTTCCACACACTCGTTTATGTCTGCAGAGAGAAATACACAGCAGCTATGTCTTTGGAGCTTGAATAAAAATTTATGTGTAAACTGTAAAAATGAACTAAAGCATCCATTCCTTGAATTGCAATATCAAGGGTAACAGTAAAATACCACGTAGGCTCCATATTTGTAAATAAACTAACTACAAATAACATTAACTCTAGTGTTGGTCTTATGCTCTCATTTATTTCTATCTATTAAAACCTACTAGTGTCTATTAATTGGGGGAAGGAGAAAAGAAAACAAATTAAAATATAGACCTTATCTGTCCCCTAATAATACAGGTAGAAGTCATTGTACTTTGTCTTCAGGAATATATACCACATTCTTAATTAAAAATGATACCTCCCTGACTTAAGGTAGACAGTATGTGTGGCCTTAGATAAGGTGGATTTGGGGCCTTCGTATGTAGCAATTCACAGTATATGTTGTACATATGATTATTACTGGTCTGTGCTATTTAAACCTTTTTTCCATTTAGAAAAAAAAAGTGCAGCTCGCGTAGGAATGCTGTTTTCTAGGATTTGACGTTTTCAGTGATCGAACTACTAAAAACAGAATGCTATAAATAGAATGATGTCATTTGTTTCCAAAGACTATCAGTATACTAGAGCAATGTGAAAATAATAATGAAAGTGAGATATTTCATGGCAAACTTTAGGAGAAAGGTTAGGAGCATAATCTGCGAGTTATCTTGGGGGCAAACCCGAAAAGGTTTAAACAGTGGTGCCCTCTCTCCTGATACCAACAGCCAAGTTCATTCAGTGTCATTTCATTGTGTGGCCCAGGTCATCCCTGCACTTTCCCTTTAAATGGATAGGTTTCATCATTTTTCTCTACTAGAACTTCCTCCTTGTCCTGTCCTGCATATCGCCCTTACCAGGGTGCTTAAGAGAAATACTCATTCATGTAAAACTCTAAGTAAGTAGTAATTTGAGAGATAGACTTTTTAGGAATAATGCACCAGCTATTAAAATAAAACTTTGAAAGATATTATATATAGAGATATACATATATATGTATATATTTGTCAGTTTTCCATAAATATTTAACAAGAGCCTATTCTGTACCAAGTGCTATGTAAACAGAAGACCAAAGCAGATATATTATTTGTCAGAAAAGTGTGTTAACACAATCCACAGAAAATTTTATCTTAGTTTTGGCTTAAAGAAAAAAACTAAACATCAATTTTTATGTCTAATTCTTTTTCATTTTTTTCAAAGTGTTTATCAGTCCCATAAGTCAGGAAATATTTTGGTATTTTCATAATTAATCCAAATAAACTATTTCATGTTATGAAGATGTCATGATATAAATGAAGGATTATTTGATTATTCAGAAGTTACTGAAACAAAGACTGTCCCACAGGAATAACTTCACTTATCAGTTCTGTTCATGGAGCAATTTATCGCTTTCATCTTTGAAGTATGTCTGTTTTGATATTTCTAGGAAAGAGAAATATGTAAACTTGTATTTGCAAAATTTCTTCTTCTTCTCCTTTTTTTTTTTTTTATTTCAATTATCCCTAACTTCTGAGAACACTCATTTGCACATACTTGCTTTTCAAAGCTTATTCCCACCTTCTGTAGCCTATAATAAAAAACTCCCTGTGAGGTTATGAAAGGTTTTGAAATATTAATTTTGGAATTCACTTCAGAATGAGAAGCAGAAACAAAAAGTATTAATTCTGAAACTACACCAGACCTTTTATTTGTAACTAAAAATTTCACTGTTTTTATAGAATCATAAAAATACCTTTCAGAATTATCAAATAAGAATACAAATGTCCCTTTGTAAGCATAAATGAAAACACCTTTCTTCTAGCTGTTCTGTCTATTCAAATTGAATTACCACAAAATTTCAAACAATTACTCCATTAAGCCATCAGCTTCAACTTCCTACCTTCACAGGCCTTTTTGTCTTCAGACAGCTGGTAGCCTGGGTGACAGGCACACCTGGCCACTTCGTTCTCACTCTGACAGATGTGGGCATATCCATTCCCACCTGTGCAGGGGTCCATCTCTAAAAGCAATTAAGCAGTGATAGTTAGCAATTAATTAACTTTAGAAAGATATACAGAGTGGAAGGGTGGAGAAAAGTAAAGATGGAATTGAGGCCATTGGGTTTTTCACATAGAGGTGGTAAGGACTCTTGAAAATTTCACTTTCTGATGGAACTAATTCATCAAAAGGTTGTGTGATCTGAAATCTGTACAAATCTAAACATGTATCAAGGCCAAAGCAAAATTAGCTTAATTTTACTCTTTTCAAAAGTATATCTGCCGCCCAAAGTTAGTCAGCAGAAACTCCTCTATATACTTTTGCTTTTTCTCTTCTTCTCTCCCCATCTTTTCTACAACTTTGAGGAGCAGAATCATCCTTAGAAAAACCTTTTTACCTCTTCTAGATCTCCTCTGCCTTTTGATAAGCAATCATGGTGGAGGAGAAGGCTTACTGGAGACACATGGGAGAGTCTTAGCTACAGCTATCATGGAAATGAAATAAATTCAGCTTCCCCTGGAATTAGTCAGCTGGCCTCCTTCTCTCCCTCACTTGCTCCTGTCTTAGTATTAGACATATTCTCTGAAAGTCCAAAGCAATGTGAAGCAACACATCCTATGAGGATACTACCACACAGAGCTTATTAAATTTATGAGTTAAGTGATTCTGGTCTGACTCTGTGAATCCAGCCTTCTCTACATTACAGGCTGCTGGGTGGGACTGCAGAATTTCTACTTCTTCCCTCCCCATACTTAATACACAGCATATAAAAAGCAAAACAATATATATAAATCTACTTTGTCCCTGCATTCTCTCATTTTTAATCCAACCACTACCACACATAAATGCTTTCATGCTTTCATTAGTTTCTTGTAAATCCTTCCAGACTACGAAAATATGTAATACAAGTATGTATGTATGTATGTATGTATATATGTATGATATATCTATCACAGATACAATATACACTGTTCTGCTCCTCGTTTTTATAGAGATCGAGCTTGAATTGGGGCAATAGTGCCATTTCAATAATATTAAGTTGTTTGATCCACGAGCATAAAATGTCTATCTATTTTGAGTCTTTAATTTATTTCAAGAATGTTTTATGGTTTTCAGTAGATAATTTTTACACTTTTCGTTAATTTTGTTCCTATGTATTTTATCTTTTTTTGATGCTATTATAAATAGAATTGTTTCTTAATCTTACTTTCAGATTGTTCATTGCTAGTGTATAGAAATTTAACAAATTTTATGTGTTGACTTTATGCCTGCAACTATGGTAAACTTTTTATTAGTTCTAATAGTTTTTTTTTTTAAGTAGATTCCTTCAGACTTTCTATATACAAGATCATGTCATCTCCAAACAGAGATATTTTACTTCTGCCTTTCTAATTTGGCTGACTTTTGTGTTATTTTGTTGCCTTTTTTTGTTCTTGCTTGAACTACCAGTTCAATGTTGAATGGCATCATCTTTATCTTCTTCCTGATCTTGGAGGAATTAAGCATAATGGGAGCAGTGTGTTTTTCACAGGTTTCATTTATCAGGTTGAAGATATTCTCCTCTCTTTCTAGTTTGTTGAGTTCTTTTTATCAAAAAGGGGTGTTTGATTTTGTCAAGGGTATTTTGGTTTTTTTTTGTTTGGTTTTTTTTCCCTGCATCTATTGATATGATCAGGTGGGTTTTGTCCTTTATTCTGTTGATATGGTATATTGTATTAATTGATTTTCAGATGTTGAACAACCTTGTTTTCCTGAGATATATCCTACTAGATCATAGTGCACACTCCCTTTTCTACATTGTTGGATGTGGTTTCCTTAGTATTTTGTCGAGGATTTTGTATATCTATATTCATATTCATATTGGTCTGTAGTTTTTCTTTTTTGTGAAATCCTTGTCTGGTTTTAGTAGCAGAGTTATATTGGCCTTATGAAATAAGTTGGGAAGTATGCTCTTTTTTTTCTACATTTTGAAACAATTTGTGAAGAATTTACATTAATTCTACTTAAACTGGTATAATTCACTATTGGAACCATCTGGGCCTGAGCTTTTCTTAATGAGAAGTTTTAAAATTACTAATTCTATCTCTTTACTTATTATATGTCTAACCAAATTTTGTATTACTATAGAAGTCAGTTTCAGTAGTTTTTGCCATTTTAGGAATTTGTTCATTTCATCTATCTAATTTGTTGTGATATAGTTGTTCATGGTATTACCTTATACTCCTTTTTATTTCCTTAGGGTTAGTAGGGATGTTCCCTTTTTCATTCATTTTATTAATTTGAGTCATCTCCCTTTTTTTCGTGAGTCTAACTAAAGGTTTGTTAATTTTTTATATTTTCAAAGAACTAACTTTCGGTTTTACTAATTTTCTCTCTTGTTTTTTATTCTCTATTTCATGAATTTCTATACTAATCATTACTAGTGCTTTCCTTTTTTTAATTATCTTTTCCTGTCTTTTTTTCTCTTGTATTGCTTCTGCCTGGTATCAGCTCTCTAAGAAATTCTTACATTTATGTCTAAAAATTCATTCTGCCCTGCCCCCCCAATTTCTCTCTCTTTCTTTCACACACACACGCGCACGCACGCACACACACACACACACACATTGAGAGACTTTTTTGTTTTGTTTGATTTCTTCATTGCATCTGTATGATTTGTCATAGGATAAGAGAAAGACATTGACCTACACAGCCATGTTTACATCAGAAACTTAATTTCTTTAATCCATGTACCCTACCACCAACTCTCAGGACAATGAGATAGGTAACTTCTCCTCATAACACTGAAAAGCTAGAGGTCAATTCTACCAGATGCAAGGTTATAAAGTAGATTGCAATTATCTTTGATATGCTCTTCTCATTGACTAATACGTCTGGGAGACTCTTCTCTTGTCCTTAATGCCTTATTGATACTCAAGGTTCCTAGGTATGAGTTGTTACTCTTCCAGAAAAGAGCTAGATATAACTTTCCTACAGCAAGCCCTCATACTGTCAAGAGTTTCTTCTGTTTTTGAGACTAATTTCCACTGTGAACTTAATCCATATGAATTGTGCATGGAAGAACTATAAAATAAATCTCCTACAATAAAGTATTTGGTTGTAAACATTCAGTTTATTCTCAGCAAAACATAAGAAGACATTTTAAAGTAGTATGTGGGACACAAGTAATATTTTGAGTCAAGATTCTAATTCTTCTTTTGTGCAGAGATACAGGGCAGTGCCTTTAAGTGGAGTTTGTTCAAATTTGGTTTATGATACTGAAAAAATAACATTGACTGGGCTTACCATCTATCATAAAAAACTAGATAACTAGATAAAAATATGAAACCACTGTTTGTAGATATTGGAAAACAGGCAGCATAGGAGGTGGAACCCTGAATGAAAAGAAACAACGCTAAATTATTGTTTTGGGTTTTACTGGAGGCAATTTCTGTATTACAACACAAGAAAGAGAAAACAAAAGAGAGCTCAATGATGTTTGTAAATTGAAGAGATGGATCAAAGTTCGTATCTGTCAAGGCAACTAGAATTTGTGCAGTGCTAGAAAGAGGGTAGGGGATGTTACAAAGAGGGGAAAAAAACCCTCCAGAAATCTATATAACAATCCTC